TGATCAATCAGCATTTTAAATCCGTTCATGTTAGATCTGCAAAAGAACAGACAACATCTCCACGTCAGATCATGTCAGTCTTTGTAGTGTGAGAACATCAACGTGATCATTTAGGCTGCTTACACTGACAGATGTAAGCCACCTCGAGGTATTTGTATGTGCCAACACAGGGGTCTCCAAACACCGAGTTACTCGCTCTGATGGTGCAGCTGCTCTTCCCGTTGCAGCTGGAGATGCAGAGCAATGTGAGTGAGCGCAGGCATCGATGTGCACTGAGAAATATGAAAGTAATACCTGCAGCCACAGTTTAAATCAGTAACAGGAGGAAAACAGTACCTCTCAGCGACTTTGCTGGTGGGACGGGAGCAGTAAACATCTTGGACCTGAGAGGCCGGACGTCTGTAGGAGCATGTGGTCTGATCGTGGCGTCCATAGTGAGCCCCGTACACGAGGATAGCCTGCCCTTCACCTGACGAGAGAAGACGAGCAGAAAACAACCCAGCAACGTTTTTTCAATTTAATCAAATTTAAATTTGATTCAAGTCATATAAATCATTTAACACGGGTCGAATTCATGAACATAACCAAATCACACATTAACAGACAGTAACAGATGATTTACTTAATAAACACTAATAAGAAATTAAAATGTAAATAAAATAAAAACCAAAAGAACTGCAATAAAAGTAGAAAATCTTCACCTGAAAATGATCAGAGCTGAGACACAACAGATATAATGACTCTTACCACAGTGCAGGTGTGCAAACGAGTGCTCGCATGTGACCAGGTGACCTGTGGAAGCAGGTCAGATTAGATATGAAAGCATTGAAGAACACTGGCTCTCAGCGACATGTTGAACCTGCTGTTTGGCAGCCTCAATGTAAATAAAGCTGGAAGTTTAGGGATTCATTGCTTTCCACTGTCCCTTCTTAACCCTCAGGGGGAAAATATCTTGGTGTCATGTTTGTACCTCTCTTCAGTTTGACTCACAGATCAAAGCAGCTGTTACCCACTTTTCTTCAGAAAGATGAACTCTTTCTTTCTGTTAATAACCTAAACGTTTGCATGAATGAAAGGATCCTGAACGTCTGCGTGCACGAGTGTAATCATATTTGTGAGGTACAGTACACATATACGCGCCTACATGAACTTCATGTTCTCTAGCAGATGTTCCACATGCTCTGTCTCCTGCTGCTCACTTGGATTTGTTAATCAGGGTCTTCTCATGATTCATCTGATTGGTGCGTTCTCACTCACTGGCTCCCTCCTCAGATGACATCATCTACCTCAGGAACAGTGTTCACATCCCAGCTCAAAATGTTTTCATGAGCTTTCACATTAGCTTTAACATAATGTCATCAAAGCAGATTTTATGTTTTACTAAATTATAATGAAAAAGTCATTATTCGTTGTTTTCAACGTATTACTTGGTTTTGATGATTCATTGAACATCTGCTGTGTTTAAATGTGTTGACTGACTTGACTTAGCGTTAGCATGCTCACATAAATCAGTCACAAACTCTCTGACCTTCTTTCTGAGCTCTGCTTCCTTCATAGTTTCATGGTCATGTGATACTGACTTGCAGGTAAGCAGGTGTAGCTGGTCTCCAGATATTTGTAGGTGTCGACACAAGGGTCAGGACTTTGGACGTCAGTCACGCTCAGTTCACACACTTTCCTCCCATCACACCTGAAGGAAACACATACATAAAAAAAGCAGTGCTGGATGTTGGTTATTGTTTAACTGTGCTGCTTTTTTACACATATTTCTTTACTTTCTTTATTTTGCTCATGTAGCGGCTGTAATTGAAAGATGAACAGCAAAGGCTCGGTTGGCCCATAGAGAATAATTATTATGTTAGCATAGCTAGCTATAATTAGCTCAACCTCGTGGACGCTCCCATGTAGCTGACTGTAAGCTGCCACATTCACAACAGAAGTTTAGGATCCTTTCTCTTGTACCTCCTCTTGAGGACGTCCACGGTTCCCTGCTGAGAGCACTTGGTGTTGTTAAGCTGTTGTTGAGGTCTGCCCTCACTGCAGGTCTCTC